ACGTATAGTGAGTATAGAAACAGAGATTTTCGAAACTCCGAATCAGTTAATCCATTGCGTCGCAAAATAATTCACTGTTTTGAAGCGCTCCAATCCGAATGCGTATTGCGAATCATTTGATTTAGTTCAAGACTTCGGAGCGGGTTCGCAATCCCTGCACCGAGTCCTGATCTGAAATTATGGTTCGCAAATGATTACTCAGATCAGGACTTCGGAGAGCGGGTTCACAAATCTTGAAAAATGATTCGCGAATCCACTCCGAAGTTCCGTTCAAATTATTCTTGATATGTGCTCCGAAGCTTTGGTGTGGGTTTCAAATCTTTTGATTCAGAATGGAACTTCGGAGTGCGTATCGCAAATCATTTGATTCAGATCGGGACTTCGGAGCAGCTTTGCGAATCTTTTGATTCAGATCAGAACTTCGGTTCAGGCCAAATACCGTGGTTAAACTATGGTTAGTGTAGCAAAACCATGGTTAATTTGTGGTTACCATGGTTTAACTATAGTAACCATGTTTTTTTTTTTCAACTTAAGAAAACACATATGATTAATATAGAGATGCAGTTTTCACTGCTTTAGGATTAACAGAGCTTCGGATAGTTTCCATGTACTTGTCTAGATCAACTTTGAATAAAGAAAAGAGAGGTTTAGAGACAGATTTTTTTGGTCAGAAATCTGGCAAAATGTGTCTGTGCAACGTACTTCAGAGTTTGACTTATAATTACGTCCATAAGCTATTTGTTAAATTTGAAGCAACTCATTAATCTGTTGTTTGACCTCTTCATATTTAAGGAGAGAACTATAGTTTCCAAAGTCGGGCATCGCTTATGATTTTCAAGGGTGTAGAATTTAGTATAGACTATTTGACATGATCCTACCAATATCAGCTCCTACTAAATTGCCCTTAGCTATAATTTTGATCAAGCAATTAAATGTCTGTTGTTTGCCGTTATACTGTATCCAAACCTATGCCCTTGTAAAAAAAAATAATCATCTTCCTAATTATTTGTCAAAATTCCCAAAATTGTCAACATGAAATCACTTCGTCTCAAAAATGATCCAATCATTTCCCTGAAGAAACAATTGAGATCTTCTTTCGTTAGAGATGACGCAGAACAAAATATTAGACATTAAAGGTGCACTAAGCAAATTTTGCCAATCGATGTGGACATTTGAAAGCACCAAAACAAACATGCCCATACCCCAACAGACCTTGCCCCTCTTTTGATATCTCCGCCCCACATGTACGTACACAACCCTGGCAACAACGATGTAATCTGCAATGCCTGCTGGCCAAGGGTATGAAGTTGTGTGAAACAAAGCATAATCAACGTTACTCACCTATTATGAAGAAACAAAGCAACCTCGGTGTCCGATTCCAGGCCTTCCTGCTCCTTGAGGTCCCTCCACCGCTGGAAAGCTGCTCCAATATTTTCCTACCTCTATTTTGAAGATATTTCGGGTCCTACCTCTTGCCTGATCGTAACCCTTCTTTTTAATGTTTTGTTTCTGATATTTTCCTCTTTTTTTATCTGCCATCTCTCTCAATCTAAAGTCGATCTGCTAATATCCGTCCTGTGCACTCACTGAGCGCTTTCTTCTCCTTATCATTACTAGGCATGTCCCTGACTGCTTATTGGCTTCCAGTGTGTTTTGGGACTCGTTTTTCAAATATTGCTTAGATTTAGGCTTAAACCAGCCTAATATGGTTTTCTGTGCTTGGTTGGTTTAAACTGGTCTCCCAGTCTGGCCAATCTGGTCTTCAGAAACCCAAGAACGTCTCATTGCAGCTTTCAAATCAACATGTTAGTTTCTTAAAGCACATTCTTGAACTTATTGTGCATGATCGGAAGTAAAAAAAAAAAATTTGTCTAAATTTTTTGTCAAAATGCAATGTCTTTGTCTTGAAAACGATTCAGTCAATTCCTAGAAGAAACAATTGAGATCTTGTTTGCGGTTTTTCTTTCCTTAGAGATGTTGCAGAACAAAATATTAGACATTTCACTGCTGGAAAAAAAAGCTTAGACTAGCCTATTATACGGTTAACATTGTTTAAACTGATCTCCCAGTCTGGCCAAGCTGGTCTTCAGCTGGTCTTGCTTGTTGAAATTGTCCAAAACCCTACCAAAAGACCAGAATAGGAGACCAGCAAAAACCTGTTTAGGTTGTTTTACGATGTTATTTTTGGAAATATAAAGTTACAAAAACCAATCAGGATGACTCGGAACTAAATCAACTCCATCCCATCCTACATTTTATCCTCTTCAATATCCAATGTTTACATCCAAGTTCACATTACAGAAGTGTCCAGGATAGGAGACCAGCTAAGACCACCAAACCAGTTTAGACTGGTTTAAAATGTGGTTTTCACTAATATAAGTTTCCAAAACATAGTGATGAACTCGTTTTATCTTCTTGAGTAGCCAAAGTTTATTTCGGAAATGCGTCACAGTACAGAAGTGACGTGTTGTGAAACCACATTTCATCTGTTGTGCATTATTTCCAGTGAGCAATTGCGTAACTGTTGGGTTTCTGTTCGAGTGACGTATCTGTGCATGTAAAACCGTGCATTTGCATACATTTTGATGTGTTTTCACCAAGCGTTTTCGTTTGACATAATGAGAAACAATGGCAGCAGGGGAAACTCCCCCAACATTTTCATTAAAAGAACTCACATATATCTTAAAAAAATGTGTTTCGTGAGGGACAGGGGATTCCGGCCAGGAAAATGCAGCTCCGCGTTTGTGTGTGTGTGTGCATTTGATACGACCCCGTCTTCTGCCTGTCCCAAAGCTGGGCCTCGTCCCAGACGGACTCTTCCGGTCTCAAGATCCAGAGATCCTCCCTTCCCCATGAGTCCTGACCACCACCCCACCAAAGCACAGTCCGCAACACACACGTCACACGCACGCACACTCACACATGCATGCAGCCCAAGGCCGATGTGTTGCGCACCAGCGGCAGCTGTGGGTGGCATGGAGGACGGATGGGGCATTTCTCTGGGCTTTATTCTGCATGTGCCCATGCCGCTCCATATGAACCGGTGCATACATGCATTTGTGTATTTTTGTTTGCTTAAAAGTCAGTGTCATGTTTCAGAGACATTTTGCAAACAGATACTCATGCATGCAATAGCATGTTGTGAAGCTAACAACGTAAAACTGTATTGAACTACTGTTTTGAGCTGGTCATGGGTTTGGTAATGACTTGAGGGAAGCCAGAGACTTCTGCAGTCATAGAAGGAATTCAATTTATGGTGGATGGTCGCTGTGGAGATGCAGATAGAGATGCGTACAAGAACACATCCTTATCTTAATAGGATTAAACATTAATTTCCCATTATTCCCTCAAAGACTGAATTGGCAAATCAAAACTCCTATGAATTTTAACCAAAGCTCTCAATACTGTAATCCAGGCCTTGGCGTAATGCATTTTATTTATGTCTTAGCTGAAGATGAGGAGGTTGGATAAATGAGATGATTTCCTCATAAAACAACATTAACATTAACATAAAACTGACTGATAATATGGATGTTAAATAATAATATATATATATATATATATATATATATATATTAATATTAGATTTTACATATTTACGTTAGATTAGATAACATTTGATATTTTAATTAGATTTTTTTTTATGTTGGGGAAGTTTCCCCTGCTTTTGTCAAATGAAAATGCGAGATGGCATGACCGTAGCGAGTCGAACAAGAGGATTGTGGGAATGATTGGCTTTCACTGGCATGTGTTTAGGTCTTAAATTGACCAGTACGCAAAAACCAACGGCCTTTCATTTCTGGAGTCGGCTGAGCCAAGTTACATGGAAAGTTTGATTTACTAATGATTTGAATCAACCCGAGCAAATTATGGTCAAATTATAAGCTTGTGAAATAATTGAATTACTCATTTTTACCGGAGCACCTAATTCTATATGGGGACTTTCTGAGTTTCATGCATATTTTACCCAGAGATGGGAAGGTTACTCTAAAAATTTACTGTATTCCAGTACAAACTAATAATGAATTATAAGGCTGGAAGATGAAAAATAATATCTCAATATTTTTCAGCCTTTAAGATATTATACTGTATATATCCCAGTATTTTTGTATTTGCACTGAAATAACTCATAAGGGTGAGGTTTTTAAACAAAAAAAAAATTTCAACCAAACAAGTAAAATAGCCTACTGTAGACATTTTCACTAACTGTAACAATTTTCATTTAAATGCATCAGTATTTAATGATAAATAACAACATTTACCTACATATATTTGAATAGACATCTTAATATATGAGAAAAAGCACATGCAGAGCTCTGTGAACATTTGTGATGATGCAACTTAATCACAATAATCCACAAGTAATCCACACCACTCCAGTCCATCAATTAATGATTTATAAAGCGAAAAGCTGCGTGTTTGTAAGAAAAAAAAAATTATGAAGACGTTTTTAACTTCAGACCTTTGCTTTCGGCTAAAATACAAGTTCATAATCAATAATAACACTTCCTCCAGTGAAAAATCCACATCAAAATCCTCTCACATATTTGTTTAGAGAGGTTGTTTTTATCTGTTTTGGGTTGTGAATGGTACTTGATCTGTGCAGATTTCTCTCCTGATTCAGACGAGATTACTTTTTCACTGGAGAACGCAAAATTTTAGATCGAGGACACATATTTTAGCTGTAAGCAACATTTTGAAGTTAAAACGTCTTAATAAGGGATTTGTTTCTTACAAACACACAGCTTTTTGCTTCACAAGATGTTAACTGATGGACTGGAGTGGTGTGGATTACTTGTGAATTATTGTGATGTTTTTATCAGCTGTTTGGACTCTCATTCTGACGGCACCCATTCACTGCAGAGGATCCACTGGTGAGCAAGTGATGCAATGTGAATGCATTTTTATACATTTTCAGCACACTTTCATTTTCGGGTGAACTGTTCCTTTAAGCAGCCATTCACTCAATAATAGAGAGTAGACTTTGACAAAAAAAGGAGTAGAAATCTAAAAAACGTTTTTAATGACACAGTCGGTGATACAATACATTAAGCAATGCAAAGTGTGTCTACACAAGCATACAATCAGTGTCGAGTCGTCAACTCCATATTCATTTGTCTTTCTTTCAGCCCTATGAAGGATGAGCTCGCATCAATTCACAGAAACGCCTTCAGTTCGACTCCCAAAGGCAGCTGAAGAGGAAACCAGTGGGAAATAAGTAAAAACATGCTTTTACATTCTACAATTAAAATCAGAGCAGCAAATGATGTTTATTCCACCAAAAACATAGTGGCGTCTGAAGCACGGCATCGCTCCCATCATGCATCTTTCTTGTCTGTCCTGGTGTGACATGTTTCTCTTGTAAAACTTTAGTTGGACAAAAGCATTTAGTCATTTTAGGTGTCCATTTAGAAATTATCTCACGCAATTAATTGCATTAAAAGGAATAGTTCATCTAGAAATTGAAATACTCATATTCACCTTTATGTCATTTCATAGATTCTGCTAAACATCTTGTTTTACGTTGCACAGAAGAAAGTCAATCAAGTGGACGACATGATGGTGAGTAAATGACGACAGATTATTTTATTATTATTATTATTATTATTCCTAAATTTGCTAAATTAACTGTAGTTGCACTGAAAGAAAATCTGATTAAATCTTCAATATAAGAGAATTTTGTCGTACTTTTCACATAATCTGCTAGTGCAGCATGACAATGCACTTATATTGATGAGATAAGATATTTTAAGACATGTTTTCAAAGTTTAAGTAAATGACAATGTTTTTGTGATTTCATAAATGGACACCAAAAATGTATAGACAGAAAGGTTAATGTTGATGTTTTTAAAACCAAAACTCTGACACGTAGATGTGAACGTTGATGATGTTCCGGTGAGAAACGACTCCGTTTGTGACGTAGTTCATGGCCAGCTTTAGTACGGTGCTCACAGGACCAACCAGCGGCTTCACCTGTCTGACTACACCTGTAGACAACAAAATACAATCAGAAAAAGGGTTTATACACTCACACCACAGCTAAATGTGGTCCAAATCTGTTTTTCCAGTCAAATGAGGTGACAAACATCAGTTTTTAGTATGAAAGCATACACAAATCACATTAAATCTGACATTTTAATTTCCAGCCTAGGCCACTTTCATGGAAATAAACTGGATAAATAACTGTTTTTTTTTCCATAGGAGGTACGTTGTGCCTCACAAATGAAGTTCCGAAAATTTTATTATTGTCTAGCAATCTCATGAGAAAATCGAAATTATTTTCCGAGATTTCGTATGAATTCTTACTATGTGGTGTGTACAGAAATGTACAATTTCTAGAAAAAAACATACACGTAAAGGTCCACCGTAAACCTAGCCGTCGGTAAGTTGTAAGTGGATCGTACGAAAATATATGAATCACATTGTACAAATTTATAAGAATTAGCCATCAATTTTCCAAAACATGAAATAGTTTTTAATCGGCAGTGTATCGATGTAAACCGTGAAAAGTGAAAGTATGTGAGCGCAAATGCTAGTTGCACCCTCTTGACTTCATGCAAACAAAAAGAAAAGTTTACATTGCAAGTTGTGGTATTGCAAACATTAGCATAAACTGTATTTTCAATTCCGATCAGAGTTTGGAAAAATATCTGTTTTTGTCCATGTTAGGTTGTGCTTAACAGATAAAGTTGATTTTAAGCAGAAGATTGTAAACCTTATGATAAAACGTTAATATTTTACAAGGTGGCAATTTTGTATAAATTCGTATAATGTAATTTGGTAATGGGCAATTTTTAGGAAAAAAACTTAAGCATGAAGGTCCACTCCTAAACCTAACTGTCAGTGGGGCATAAGCAACTAATACGAAAATGTACAAATGAGATTGTACGAATTCATGCGAATTAGCCACCAGTTTGTCAAAATGTAAAATTTGTATGAATTTCCATTAGACTGTGTGGGCGTAAACATAGCATGAACAGTGGAAGTAAGTGAACGCAAATGCTAGTTGCACACACTTTTTGACTTCATGCAAACTCCGCAATTCACGCGACAAAAAGAAAATTAAGCATTGGTGGTGCAATAGTGAACATAAGCATAAACTAGTGGTCGACCGATATATTGCCAAGGCCACTTTCGTATATAGAAATGGACTGGATAAATATCTGTTTTTTGTCAATGTGAGGTTGTACCTTGCAAATAAAGTTGGTTTTGAGTAGAAAATCGGAAATCTTATCAGAAAACGTAAATATTTTACGAGGTGGTGTTTTCGTATGAGTTCGTATGAGTTCGCAATTTGCACAGAAATGGGTGATTTTTAGGCATAAAAACTTAAACATGACCTTCCACCCCTAAACCTAACTATCTGTGGGGCGTAAGTAGATTGTACGAATTAGTCACCAATCCGTCAAAATATAAAATTGTTACAAATTTCCATGAGACTGTGTTGGCATAAACATAGATTGAACAGTGAAAGTATCTGAGCGCAACACTTGACTCCATACAAACTCCGCAATTCACACAACAAAAAGACAAGTTTGCATTGTAAGTGGTGCACAGAGCTGGGTAATAACTGATTGCATGTAATCTGGATTATGTAATCAGATTCCAAAAACTGAGTACTTGTAATTAGATTAAATTACATTTTATTATGGATTGCATATTATTTACACAATAGCAATACTTTATTCATAATTTACTGATTCTCCCTAATTCCTATTTTTCACCTTTAAATTTTCCTCTCTACAATAGACTACTGCTTCTATACGTTCAGAAAGTCTTCCAGTTTTGTGGACATTCACACAGAGATCAGTCATTAGGTGCTACACAGCATTTGACCACTGGATTTACAAAATCATTTCAGGTTTAAGAAGCGTTTCAACATTGCATCCACTACTGACGAACACATTCATTTTTATTTGAAATATTTTACAATTATTTGTTTTAATTTAACATTTTTATGATTTCATTAATTATTAGCTTTTCATTAAACTCATAAACCCCCTGCAGTTCCTTTACGAACCCCAGTTTGGGAAACTTTGACATAATATTATATTAAGCTAACTGAGACTTGTTATAGCACTTGTGTATCATTTCTCTTTTGTTGATTTTGATTGCTTCTATT